GAGTCTCATCGCTGTAAGGATCCCCCAAGACATCTGCCGATTCCTTATCACCACCTCCGCTGGCTGAACTACCAGCGCCAGCATCGAAATCTTCCAGAGTGAGAAGAAGACGTGGCCAAGCACCGTCTAGACGAGAGACCCAAATTTGTCGATTTCCCCCAGTGGACCAGTAGAGATTCCCCACTATCCAATCAACTGCTAGACCATCCAATGTCTGAAGTGCTCCATTGGTAGGTTCAATCACAGTAGTAGGTGCTTAAAGAGGTACAAAAATATTTATTTATTTATTTCAAATGGCAGGCGTTTTGATAGCTATCATTAGCCATTTAGCTGACTTCGGGCTTCACAGAGGGAAGGTTCATCAAAGTAGCAGAAAGTCGAGGGGCGGGGAACAGAAGGGCGATTCACAGATGTAAAAGAGGCAGATAGACATAAGGGTAGGGAAAAAGGTAAGATGAGTACTGTGAAAGGGGTCGAATATGACAAGCAGTTGGGCCATGGTATTTTGAAGTCAGAAGTCAAATGCCAGTTAATAGACTTTTTTGCCGTATGAGTATACGTTGCCCAGGGTGCACCGCGTGGAGATAAGTCTATCGCACACCCCAGGTACAAAAATATTGAAAATACAAAGACCAATTGAGTGGATATCGACTAGATTAACTGAATGAGGTATTTCACCGGTGAATGAAAAAGGTCAAACTGTTAACGTTATCACATTAGCTGTTATGAAAATCGTTAGTGAGACAATAATCCATGAAGCTATTGGTGGCTAAGACTTAAATATGAGGACTTGCTCCATAAATTAACCGCATAAAGTAAATATTGATAGGTCAAAAAGACATTCGAGACGTTGTTGAATAGGTTATTTTAAAAGTTGTAAGCTGAAAATGAAAGGGAAATGAGAAGGCTCAGACCATATGACTAATAGCTCATTTTGAACCCAACAGTGTAACTTACCTTTTCACCAGTCGATATCTGTAAAAAGGTATTGTTAAAATGGGACATCATTGATAACCACGAAATTATCTCCTCGCATTCTATAAAGAGAATTTAAAATAACCTCCTGATTTGCCTAATACTTTTTGAACATCTACTTAACACCTCGAGCTAGTTACGACCCCCAACTGATACCTGTGTCTAACAGCCAATCGAATACACCAGATAACTAAGGCCATTCAGATTCATTTAATTATTGATCCCAATGTATCCAAAGTTGGAAGTCAGAAGTGGGACTCCATACGTAAAGTATAGCGCGAGAATTGTTAAGAGGTCTTTTACCGTAGTTATACTAATTAAAGAAATGAGAGGAAATAGAATAAAGGAAAGTTAAAGAGTTTTAGCAGTAAAACTGAGAAAACTCCGAACTAGTACCTCTTCTCAATACCCGTATTTTACTCCATTCTAATAAATAAATATCTTCGAATTCTCTTTAGTCATTGTGGGAAATAAGGAAAATAGCTAAAAGTTATTTACTTCTCCAAGTCAGAATCCGATCAGTGGTATTAGAAACAATGCAGTAAATTAGGTTTAACAAAATGAATAAAGACTGTCATTAAATATACCACTTTAAAATTCCATCGGGAAAAGGCTAAATAAGAATTTCATTAATTGAAATCCATCCAAACGTCTTAGAGGCAGTCTTACCACGTCTTAAAGCTCTCACATTTCACAGATTTTTAAAATTTACAATAAAAAAGACGGTACATTCTTATGGGAAATAGAACGATCCACTTACTTCGTTCACCAAGTTTTAACCGATAGATTGCGTTATCCACCCAGTAAATATACTCCGATTTAGGATCAAAATCAACACGAACAAGAGTCCCACGAGGATTAGGTGAAGTCCCGATTGGCCAAAGTGGACTATCTGTAAGTTGACCATCTAGAGAAAGCATAAAAATTTTCGGTGGTCGAGCGACAAGGAGGAATTTCTCGGGATTCTTTGGGCACATGTATGAGTTAGAAAGATTTATTTGAGATTCGCCTTTCGTGGAAATTGGTGAGGAAAGAGCTCTACTTGAAGAAATCCCTGTTGGGCAGGTACAAGTGTACTGAGGTTTGGAGGGTGAACTAAGGCACAGAAAATTGCATCCTGTTTCATCTGCAGTTGAAAGATGTCTAAATTTTTCCGGTAGACAGGTAAAGTTTCCTTTCATTGGAACTAAAATATGGAATTTATGAAAGGAGCAAAATTGACAATCTTACTTTGAATTCGGTCGGCTCCACTGAATACCATGGCAGCGTATATCTGATGCCCAAAACGCCTATGAACCATTGTTGAAAATGGTATCTTATCCTTCGCTAACACACTACTTATAGACAGGTCATTATAAAAGAATATTCGACCTCCAAATGCAGTGAGAAGTTGTGGACGATCAGGTCCCAAATCTGGAGTGGAAATATAGGTCACATCACCACCTTCGAAATTACAAGAGCCAAATCGATTGCGTATTTCATCAAACCAAACTAGGCGATTAATTGAGCGATCGATTTTCAAGTCCCTTGCCATGACACCAAGATCTTCCAATATCGTCTTCCTTTCACTGCCATCCAAACCGGAGCTTTCAATTAAGGTAGACTCTTCAGATCTTAACCAAAAGAGAGACCTCGAAACAGGATCAACACAAATAGATCTCAGGTTGCTCATATTGTTTGAAACTATGATTTTCTGTCTGGTAATTGTGATCAGGTCTAGATTGACTTCTCCAACTGCAATATATTCTTCTTTGAAATCAGCCCAGTAGATCATCATATTATGCCAATCAACAGCCAGAGCGTTTATGGCACCGTGGTCAAATTTATATACATTGTGTGCACGGAAATCAGTCAAATTAAAGGCCTATTGAAATAAATATCAAAATAATTATAATTACCTTAATAACCGAAATGAAATCAGAATGCTGCGTCTGATGATCTCCAACATAAAACACCAGCTTATCATTAAAGCTATAATCAAATGCATTGGGAGCAATTAATCCATCGACTAATACTCGAGTTTGGGTAGGGGATTCAAGACTAAGTTGGCCAAATTTGTTCGAGACGAGGAAAGTAAAAGGATCTAAAAGATAAACCTATGGTGTAAAAAACAAACCCGGATTTCCAGTTATTAGTCCAAAAAGAATGAAGGAAATGCAAACAAAATTAATTATAATCATTGTCTATGAAATAAAATTATCATTCCTCATTATAACACCGGGCTTGACAGGACAATGACATTTTAGGCCATTCAGGCCACGGATAGTCCACTAACGCGTAAACCCCATTACTATTGGTTAATTGGGGAAGGTCTTATAAATTATTATAACTAATACTTATAAATCTTTGAAGCAACCGTAAAATATAACGAAATTGCATGCGTTGATGCGCAGTTCCTGACAAACACGATGCATATGTTGAATCAGCCGAAATGAATCAACCTGCAAATATTTCAATTAGAAAGAAAATTCTGAAAGCATATAACGTAATGGAATGTGTGCTAATACAGCAATACAAATTCGAGGAATGAATACGCTCTTCGTTTCACATGAAAATTTAATAAATATTCAATATAATAAAAACAATCAATTAAATGGAAGGTTTATACATCTTTGATCCAGCAGTAATGACTAAGATCAATATTATCATTATTTTAAGCTTAATATTTAGATATTTGTATGAACCTTAATACCTCTAAAACCTTTTGCAAAAACATTATAAAGTGTTTTGCAAATGAGAAGACCTCCGAATGCAGTGTTAAGGTGATCGGTCTTAAACCCCTAATTCTCAATTTCTTCGCACCACCCAGCAATTGCGTTTATTATTTTATTCAATTGCTGCATTTATGTGCATGCTTAAAGATTTTGCCATCGTAATGTTTAAATTCTTTAAAAGCACAGCAGATTTACAAAGTTGCATGCGCCCGTTCCGTTTCTTTTGGTGTAGGTATCTTTTATTTTTATTGCAGTTTGTAACAATTTTATTTTGTTCGCTTATGGAAATCTTTTTATTAAATTTTTTTAACGTTGTTCCTGGCTTTTTAATTTTACATCTATATTGTTTATAGAGTAATTGAAATGGATACTAAATACTACGATCTTGATGTACCTCGCTCCTCTGTTACCCCTCAGTTAATCGCTCGCCTCTTAGACTGTGAATATCTCTATATTGCCATCACCACAACCGTCAGTATTGATGAGTTCAATTTCAAAGACAAGAAAAAATCCGCTAAGGAAGAGAGACAACGCATGCGTGAATCGCTCATTTCTCAATTAACTCCTTTAACCGGACCTGAACTCTCCGATTTCCTCGAAAAAAGTGAAGACTTTCGCTCATCATCCGCCTCTCGTCTGCCCTCTCTTTCTCCACCTCGACTTTTTAATCGTCTTACTCTCACCTGTTCAGATACTGATCTTGCCGGTCTATTCTTTAAGGAATTCGCCAATAACATTCGAAAATTTGACGTGATTGCTTTTGAACCGCTCTCTTCAGCTGCTTTTACATATGCGATTGAAAGTCCGGCCACTATCCCCATTGACTTAATCAGTATTAAACCTCAGTCTTCCTCTATTAATGACTTTCGACCAGCTCCAAAACAATGTACTCAACTTCTCAGGCGCGGTGTCTACTTTGATATTCGTCTATCCCCATTACTCTTTCGCTCGGGAACGCCGGCCTCATCTAGAACATCTCTAGCTACCCTCTTGACACACCTAGACTCGGTATGTCGGTTTCAGTTTTCCAGACTACTTGTTCTTACCAGTGGTGCACAATCAGGCTGGGAAGTACGACGTCCACAGGCTGTTGCCTCCGTCATATGTGCTATCTGTCCATCACTTGCCAGTGGAAATGCCCCACTCGCCATGCAGCAAACTAATCCCTGGCAAGCGATCTCTCGAGGTTTGTCTCGACGGGACTCAAAGGTGGCTCATGGAGCGGCTACTCTCTTGCGACTTCTTGCTGATCACTCTGTTGTCGAGGTGGTTAAAGTGGAGCCAGAGTCGGTTGAAAAGAAGGCTGGCAATGAGAAAACTCTCCCAGAACATATTGGTTTATCTGGCGAAGATGAGATCACTTCTCCAGAAAGTAAAAAGAGAAAGCTTGAGGCAGCATGAGCTTACTAGCCAGATGTTTTTTCTAGTCTGCTTTTCAAGCTTTACATCTGTAAATATGTATATTTTCATTTTGTATCTGCTGACATATATTTTCATCTATAATTTGGTTCTTTTTTTCTTGCATTCACATATCAGTTTCTTGGAATACGCACAGATGATGGCAATAGGACAGGATTTTGGAATCATCGGTAGCCAGATTGATTTACTATTTGTATCTGGAAGATTGGTTCATTTAGGCTTTGAATACTCAAGGGAGTGTTGTTTGGACAAGGTCAGCTAAGGATAGATGAAACGCAGGTTGTATGTTTTGCGTTTCGTTTTGTCTCAAATTTATTACATTGGACCTTACTTCTCAAATGAGCGTAGAATGCTAAGTAATCCACTTACTGCAATTGGGATCTCGAAATGATACTTTATTGCTATTCGAAATACGGCGTAATATAACAGTTTTATTCGGTAGACTCAGTGTTGTGCCTTTATAATTAATCTTGAAATATGGATTGTAATTTCGCTAAAATCTTGTTCTTTGGCAAGATTTATCAGGTGTATTTACTTTTTTATTGCTTGAATTTATTTGGTGATAATCTCAAATGCATTTGGTGTTTCTATTTCAATTTTGAATCATATCAAAAGAAACTTCTTATTTGAGACAAAATTCGACAGCCAAGTTAATTTGCTACTTAAATGTAAATAGTAGGCGTTTAAAGATATTTTAAATTTGGAAATATTCACATCGTTATTTATTTCGCTATCAATTCTAGTTATTATCACTTAATGTTCCAAGAGAATCTCTAATATTTAAGTTATGAACGGGAATACTCCTAGGATCTTATCAATATTATCCAACCTTGTTTGCACCTTGTATCAATTTTTATGAACATCAGACCAAGTGAATCACAGTAACCATAAATTATAGATATTTCTATTTGGTGGGAGGGCAAAAAGATGAGGCTGAAAAGGTAATGGCAATACTGCAAAATCGTTTTGCCCACAATAACAATTATTAACATTTATTACAGTCTCAATCGGGTAGCAGAACCTGCAGCAAGCCAATTTGTGCATTCACTACGAAGAGTCTCAATTCTGTCAATTGACTCTGTTATTGGAGCGCTAGCACTCAGTGATTACTGTCTTTCTTGACAACGACCACTTACGTAGTGTCTGACACGTTAAGATCTGAGGAATTAGGGGGCTAACATTAGGACAACTGTAATTATAAAATTGGCCTGACAGCCATTTTTTGACTTTTCTGGTCTCGGTAAACTAGTGCGCTCTACACTCTTAAACTCGTCTTCAAGAACATGCACTGTCATTTGTCCTTTTGGATGCTCATTGCTTTTATACGTCTGCGAAGTTCAAAACTGAATATCCTCACATCTTGATTCCCCTATTTATATTCCAATAATAGGATGAGATGAAATTCGGGTATATAACAATTTAACAATCTTCGTTTTTCACATTACAAATTAAAGCATCCTGTGATGGGGAAAATGAAGTCGTTGGTACCGGTTGCCTTTACGGACGAGTGTTCCATTCGATGCTACAAAAGCATTGTCTTATTTTGGTCAATAATTTCAATCAAAAAAGAACTATTTTTATATGAGATTATCTTGCTTTTATCCTTCTTTTCCAGTTAAATTTATTGATTGGAGCAAATGGTAATTTTTTTGATACTTTTACTCATCTCTTAAAAAAGTAGAAAATTTGTATTAATAAAATTATTCAAATCAAATCTAATGGTATTGAGTGTAGTTGAATGGAAAAGGCAGATTTAAAAATAGTAATTGATGGAAATGAAGTAGCAATCGGGGGCATTACTTAGAAGTTGCTATTGAGAAAACTGAAGTTAATTAATAGTAATATTAGCAGTAGAAGGAAAAGAGGTGGAAGATTTCATTTTTTAAATACGTAGTGGCTACAACGCCCAAGGAAGAGGTAGAATAAATTGCAGGTCTGAACGTGTTTTTTTCCAGCATTGGTAAAAATGTCTTTGAATTTTCTGCCCCATGCGCAGCATTGGATTTCATTTGTGTGGGAACTTTTGACCTTTCTCTGACGCCTGAAGTGCAGTTCTTTCTTCCTCCTTCCCAGCCCCTCCTCACCCTCTTCTCAAGGAATTCTGCCTTGGTGGTGGCGGCGGCGGCGGCGGTCTCTTCCTTTGATCTCCTCCTCTTGTCTTATTGCTTGCTTCTTCTGCTTCCTGGACCTTCATTTTCCTCTGTTCATGAATAAAGCCTTGATTGTGGCCTGGGATTGCAATGAAATGCATGAAAATGGCTGCGTACTTTACATATTTGCGTACGTTTATGTGTTAAAGAACTTGGTGCAATTTGCCGTGAACTCTAATTCCTTATTGATTTTTTTAGTTAATAAATGTGGGACGTGAATTAAGACAAATGTATTTGAGTGAAAGCTCTTAATCACTGTTTTGATATTTTCATTTTCGAATCAATAGGCTTCCTCTTTAAATGAATTTCTTCTACTCGATCCTGGTTCGTCAATTCTTTGCCTACGGTTTTTTCCCTATTTGCCATGAAAATAATTGCAATGGTTCTTGTGTAAGCGATATCTTCATATTCTTCAGGGTTTTTTTACAATTTAATACTTACTAAGTAATATGACGTAGGGGAATTGATATTAATCTGAAATAAATATTTTCTAATCAAAGTACTTAATAATGAGCACATACGTCATTGCCTAATCCCTCTTTCATACTTCAGCACTTTTTCATTCCTTCTTTGGCACGCTGCATATAAGACCTCTTGCTTGTCCTATCATAGATCTTTATTCATTAATTGAAAAGGAGTATCTAGCAATAACGGTTCACTTTTTTTCGAAACAAAAGTATAACAGGACATTGATGAGAGGGTAATAAATGTAAATAGTGGGGACTATCACCGGCTATTAAAAGGGCGAATTTGCAAATTTGTGAAATGTATAATTACAAAAGAATACATATCCTGATATATCCTATTGAGACCAGATACTGATTCCTTCAGAGATCAGCAATACTGAAAACCCTTCAAAGTGGTGTTTCAGTAGTATTCTTCGCTGTACTTCTCCGTTTCGTCTTTCAAAAATTTAAAATAGGATGACATCGCTCTCTACAGACCGATATGAGAAGTTCATAAACAAAGATTAGTGTGGTGATGATAATTTGTTGATTAAATTGGATTTTAATATGTTCTCATCATGCACAAGATTGTAAAGATCGCAAACATTTTAAGTGATCCAAAATCGTTATCCCTCACAAGGGAAAAATGTTAGGAGATGGGGTGAAATTGAGCGCAAAATGCCAATTAGCGAAAGAAGTGTTTATACTGTTTGACAACCCACCATTCGAAAATGTTCCAGAAAGACTGCAATCCAGAGAAGATACTATACGTATATGTTAATTATAACCGTCCTTACTGGAGATACACAAACAGAGTCTTTAAAAAACGATCACCTTCCTCACACTGCTTTGGATTTAAGCGAATTCAATGTTCTAGGAAGTAGAGAAGCTGAAAATCTCAAAGTACCTGCCAACATCATTGGTCTAGATGTTTATTCGCCAAAATATTGACCGAGAACTTACTCATAACTGAATGTCAATGGCGATAAGTTTAAAACGTAACTTTAGAAGATTTTGGACACAAATATTCAGAATAATCCAAACTTTTAGTGGATATCTTGAATCATTGCACTAAAATGTCATAACTAATGCATCTTTTGTTCAGTTTCTATTCTTAGGGCGATCTATAATTAAGGAGGTTCATACATTATCCACAAGTTGTCCACCGTCAGAGTATCTTTAGTAAAGTACCCCTCCAAATTTATATAGGGGTCTCTATTCGCCATCTCCTCGGAAGTTGAAGCATCTTTTACCTTCCAATGAGTCTAGTTCTGCCCAGGTTTACAAATTGTGCATAAATTCACTAAAGAAGTTGGCCACTTGCTAAATCCTTAAACCTTCATGTTAAGTACTTCCAAGAGAGAAATATAATCCAGTCTGAAGAATAAAGTAGCGTTCAAGTTTACTAGAATTACTAAATGTAAAGGTAAACACAAGACAAAATTTGTTAAATTTATTTACATAAGAAAAACAGTGCAGTAAAACAATTCGCTTATTACACGTCTATCCCAGGCTCACAGTATAAGTGCGCAGCTATTCCAGCTTGAACTACCGTGAATAGCAATGGAATAACGTTGTGACCGAGCAGGTGCCTTCAGTCCCACAGAGTAGTGGGGGGGGGGGCGGGTATGGAGAGGAATGTACGTCTGAACCAGTTTCTGGCCTTTCATAGTGGGTCACTGCTGCGAAGAGAATCACTGAAGGACAACTCCTCCCATAAAACTCCCTCCTTTCTATTCACATGCCTACCTCCCTTCAACTATTCCTCCCTACCCTTCATGGGTTTGAACTGGTTAAATCAGGTGAACGGCGCCTTGCAGTAGCGGTCAGCAGTGGTTCTCACGCTCTATTTGACTGTTTATTCAGCGTAGAGGCTCAACCCTTTTCCACGCTAAGCAATTCTTCACCATGAAGCCATTTAAACTGCAAAAGTGAATTTAAATGACGCAATTATGTGTTTGGATATTTATGTTCATTATTTATGCGCTTAACCATAAGAGGGTTTTAAATGTTAAAGAGTGTAGTGGAAGAAAGATAGCACTACCTACCCCAGTTTTAAATATTTGATTGATTATTGTTATAGGAGACAGAAACGAGGGCTTTCAGTACGAAAATAACGAAATTTTCCGGCTAATCCACGTTAAATGAGTTATCGATCGTTTGGGTTTCCTTGCCCACCCCTGGATTTACAATCTCACCAATTCTGTCATTATTGGGTAAGCATAATGCCAGTCTAAGGATTAATACACATCTGCATTTAAGCAATTATAAGCTCACGAAATGAAAGAACAGCAACCATTAAGTCATTAATCCTTTGAATATTCATAGATATCGATAGTCGGCGTGGTCACTTTTTAGTTATTTGGTCAGTTATAACTATAATATA